GTCTACTCTGGTTTTGCAATCAATTTGATCTTATCTACTTTTTATCTTTCATATATATGAGGGTATTTAAAAATGTTCATGGAAAGAATAAAAATAAAAGATAATATGAATCTTCCCATGAACTTTTTGAAATACCCTTGGACTTTGGGGGCATTTTAATGGGATTTCAGGAGTAAGAACAGTAAAACTCTGTGCTCAGTTAGCTTCACAGAGCTGATCTTCAGATGGTCTGTATCAATTCAACAATTCCAAATGTTAAAATGTTGAAATGCTTAAATACTTATTACTAGATATCTGTTGCCCTAATTCCCTGTACAACCTTCCCTGGCTTCTCTTCCCAGACCTCCCAAGATTTCTCATGATCCCAAACCTGAAAGACCAATGCAAGGATAAGGAGGGCATGTCAAGTGTTTGCTCTGCCTCTCAGAGTAGCATTCTGTCTGGTTAGACATTGCCCACATCTCGCTTGGACGGCATTATAGTGTTCGAATATGAAATTCAAAAATTGACCCAAAAATCAATTGGTCACAATGTGAAGAAAACTTCATCAAGAATAAGTACTTTTTTTTTGATCATGTAAGTTCAAATGGGGCAATTTATGAATATACTCAAATATACTAAAAGATTGTTTATTATTTACTGTTTAATAAATGAATAAGATATCTCAAAATGGATGGTAGAATGGTGTGAAGTATTCTTCAAATTATTCAGGGAAAGCATAAGGAACGGAGCTCTAGCCATCAGATTCATTCTTCCCTCTAGTTGTATGGTGCAGCTTGACTCATCAAATATGTCACTACTTATGGGGCAGTCTAAACTCAGTACATCACAAACACAAAATGGCCTTGCCATTTCACCTCCTCACAACATGCAACCTGCTCTTTCTTCTCCCTTCCCATTTTTTAACAGCATACTGGGCAGATTACATAGCTTTCCTCTCAGATTCTAGCATTTAAAAGTTCATTCAAAAGTCCATTCTAATTCAGATTGAAACTCATACACAGTAGAGCACTCGTATCTTTCCTGCTGGTGCCATCCAGGCCTAGGTCTTGGGACCTAGAGGGGGAGGAGTATAGTCTGCTTCTTCATTCTTCCTCCACTCTTATTTTCCTCCTGTAACCCCACTCATCCTCCAGGGTAGAGCAGGAATGGCAAAAGGAGAATATTGAAAATGAAACAAAAGTTTTTCTCATGCTTAATACTGTTGCAGTCTTGGAGGACAATGTTTTCAATACGATAGGAGTCTAAATACAGGCCCTGTGATAAGGTACATGCATGACTTTTTTGAAGGGAAGCCTGTCCCCCATATAGTTCCCTGATATGGGTGAGCCACTCCAGGGGATCTCCTTCTACTCCTGTTTAGAATCTGTCCGTGACAGAAAACCTTCTAGGCCTTTCCTTCTGGAATCACTTGGTCCAGGGGACCACTCCATTGGAGATGGTACTGGTAAGATGATTCAATATTTTGTCCCTGTTCAGTTTTGCTTATTCAATAGTCTTGTTGGCTTGTCCCGTATTCATGTTGGACAGAGGGAAAGTAGAATTGGAGAGAGATGGATGGGAGGAGAAGTAGACTGACAAAGGAGAAGCCTAAAGTGTCACCGCTTCAGGTGGCAAAGATGCATGAAATCCACATGGCCTAGAGAAACATGAAAGGTAGTCAGGCTTAGCCCTTCTGGTAGGTACCCACTCACAGTGCACCTAGAGTCTGTGACACATCACACAAAAGGTAAGGTGAGTGTTAAAAGAGGTCAAATGAGCACTGGTCTCAAGTACCAAGGTCCTGGAGAATGGGTTTGCCTCCTGCAGAGTTCCCTGAAGAATTCAGGCATGCACTGCATGAGACAGACATTATTTGGAGGATCAATACACAGAAGTCATGATCACCAAGTGAAAGCTACAAGCAATCTAAATTTGATATAAAATTATTTTTTTCTTTTTCTTCTGCTGTCTCCTTCTCCCCATAAAATAGAAACAGAAAAGGAGGGTGGGATGAAAAGAGAAAAGGCAGACACAGCCTTTCCCTAAAAACTAGCCTTGTAAGCTTACACCTGGTTAGCACTGGGGCAGGGAGGACGGGGACACTGAAGTTGATATAGATTGAAGTTCTCAACTGGAGTAGACCAGAATTGAAGTTTTGTACACTCCAAGTGACTGGACAAGTATGAGTTCTGCCTGAGATATAACTTAGAGATGAAATGGGGAGATATACTGGAGAACATTTGGAGGCTATGATTGAAAAACATAAATAATATTTTTTTCACCCTATTTGAAGTATTCCATAAGCAGTTAGCATATATTTCTATGAAATACTGGGCAAATGCAAAGGAATTATGTAATGAATCAAGTTGAGTACTGACTCAGTTGTACACTAACTTGAAGAATTGATTAGACTATTATTTAGATAAATTGATTGCATGTAACCAAAGCCCACTGCCCTTTATTTACAGTTTAGCACTTTGACCATCCTTTGTGTTTATTTACCTCTAGCCTCTAATCCAAAGAGGCAAGAGTACTAAACATTTCTCTCTCCTTCTTCTCATTAACAAACTTTGGAGTTTGGACACTGCACAGACCACAGCGCATCATTATCACATCTTTCTCTCACCTTGGAAATAATGAGGAATTTTTCACACTCTCAGTCATTGGGGATAAGGTTTACTTAGAGGACTTTTGTTTTATGAATGTCTTTAAGGAGTTCACAACCTGCAGACTAAAGGCAAAGGGTAGAAATGAGGCTGAAACTTTAGCTGATGCAAGACGATCAACTGTTTGCCTCCAAATCCTGCCCTGGGTGTTAGAATAACAAACTCCTGGGAAATAGAACTTCTGATTAATCTTGACTTCACCTTTTGCAAAACCATTTGCTGAAGATGGCCTATAAGGCACACTGGAAGAGACACATATGTGTATGAATTTCAGAGGCCTTAGGAAAAGCCTCCAATTAAAATCTCAATCTACCACTGGGCTAGGTGCTTATTTGTGACTAACCTCAAACAAGAAAGTATAAATTAACCTAAATTTCTTTAATAAGTTTAGATAGTATACTAAAAAAGAAGAATATTTTAAATTCTAGGAATATTGAAGTAACATTTTGTTCTTTGTTCTGCCCTGTTTTTAAGGTACCCCTTTGCCTCGCCTTTGTGTTATTGTGCTGACTGTACTACAGAAATGATTGTCTTTCACCTTTGTAACACTTATCACAATTTGAAATCATATATCCATTTCTCTATGTACTTACTTGTTTTCCTCTCAAGACCACAAGTGTAATGAGGATAGAGTTCATATCTGTTTAGTTCATTACTTTATACCCAGATATTGACATTCAATAAATATATTTGAATAGATAAATCATTAATGAATAAATCTCAGAATGATGGGAGTAGATATAAAGTTATATCTCCACTCAAAATAGCAGGTATCAGTTGATACTTTTTTATTGCCTAGAACAATGGTTTCAATGGTGGAAGGGGAGTGGTTCATTTTGCTCCCAGAGGATATTTGGCAAAGTCTGGAAACATTTTGGTTGTCATAGCTGGAAGGATTTTCCTGGCATCTAGTAGCAGAGATGCCGCTAAATGCCATATGACATACAGGACAGCTTCCCATATTGAAGAATTCTCTGAACTCAAATGTCAGTAGTGCTTTAGTTGAGAAAGCCTGTTGTAGGGTTTTGCCTATAAGCAATTGACATCATGTCATAGAATCAGACACTCAGAAAATATTAGGAGGAATCTGAAAGAATATTTGATTAGGAATAAGATGGCCAGATGGATGAATAATACTTATCACTCTTTATAACTTGAAAAGCAAACTCACAAATATCTCTAAGTTCTCAGGCTTGCACTGGAAAGTCTTGGACTCTTCTTAAGGAAGGCTGAATAATGCTTTTCCTCTCTCTGCAGTATTCCACATTCCAGGTTTGGGAATATTACCAAGGAATCTGTTCCCATTTCCAGCTTCCTGCTCATTATTACTTTTTTGACTTTTTTTTTTTTTTTAGCACTGGAAGCAGAAATGCCAATCACCAGAAACTACAAACGAATGTATAGTGAGAGGGTTCACTGTCCCCTTGTCACGTGATGGAGAGACATTTCAGATGTGCTCCCAGTGACAATCTCTTGAGAAGACTGATCTCCTTTCTACTGGCACCTCAGAAAAGATGGTGCATCTTTAATGCTTTTATGTAACAGATTTTATCAATCTCAAGTTGCCCTGACTGCACATAACATTCTCTGCATGTTGGTAGCCCACGCAGATGCAAAAGTGATTCTTAACAGGAGACAAAGAGCCAAGTGTTGACTCTTACTGCTCATACCCTATTATATCTTTATAACAAAAATCCAACAAGGTGGCTAATTCATGACTGGGAACAGGGGAATGGTTCAAGTCTATACACTAAGAAAAAAGAAATCTTTGGCCTAAAATACATAATGGTAATCAAATTTCATATAGAAAGTTGTTTTGTAGAATAATGTTTCCAGTGATCACTGTTGAAAATAATCTTACTAGTTCACACCTTGCACTCTAGGGATTCCATCGAGGGATTTTCTCGATGATGGCATTTATTTAGCTGAGAGGACTGCCTACTTTATGCAGTAATGCAGGACAGGTAACATGGAGATAACACTACAGAGTGTGATCCTTCAACTCCATGATTATGTCCCATATCAGTGACTGTTGCAGAGAGGAACTCTAGAGGTAAAAGTAAAATACAAGAAGATATTTACGGCTAAAAGGAAATTTTATCAAATTAAGGATGTGAGGCATTTGCTAATTGAAATCAATTCCCAATAATCTTGTGCAATATAATTTTTGCTATATTTTATTTTGTTACAGAAAATATTTGAAATTTGTAATAAAAATGTAAAATGAAAACTTATATTCTAGATAATATCTGGTGGATTTATGTTTTTTCCCAAGAGTAGTGAAAATTAAAATCCTATATTCTTTACATAATCAAGAAGGACAAAGCCTCTCCATATATAACCACCAGCACGATGAGCAGCAACGTGCCCCCACCTGCAGCTGAGCAGCTCTGCTACGAGAACATGAACGGCTCTTGCGTGAAAACTCCCTATGCGCCGGGGCCCCGGGTCATTCTGTATGCAGTGTTTGGCTTGGGGACTGTGCTGGCCGTGCTTGGAAACCTCCTGGTGATCATTTCAATCCTTCATTTCAGGCAGCTGCACTCTCCAACCAATTTCCTCATCGCCTCTCTGGCCTGTGCTGACTTTTTGGTGGGTGTCACCGTGATGCCCTTCAGCATGGTCAGGACCGTGGAGAGCTGCTGGTACTTTGGGGAAAGTTTCTGTACTTTCCACACATGCTTTGATACGGCATTTTGTTATTCTTCTCTCTTCCACCTGTGCTTCATTTCCGTCGACAGGTACATCGCTGTTACTGACCCTCTGGTCTATCCTACCAAGTTCACGTTGCCTGTGTCAGGAATTTGCATCAGCATCTCCTGGATCCTGCCCCTGGTGTACAGCGGTGCCGTATTCTACACGGGTGCCTATGATGATGGGCTGGAGGAATTATCTAGCGCCCTCAACTGTGTAGGAGGATGTCAGACAGTTGTAAATCAAAATTGGGTGTTAATAGATTTTCTATCCTTCCTTATACCTACACTTGTTATGATAATTCTTTATGGTAATATTTTTCTTGTTGCTAAAAAGCAGGCTAAAAGGATTGAAAGTACTGGCTGCAAAACAGAATCATCTTCAGAAAGTTACAAAGCCAGAGTGGCCAAAAGAGAGAGAAAAGCAGCTAAAACCCTAGGGGTCACAGTGACAGCATTTATGATTTCTTGGTTACCATATAGTATTGATTCATTAATTGATGCCTTTATGGGCTTTATAACCCCTGCCTATATTTATGAGATTTGTTGTTGGTGTGCTTATTATAACTCAGCCATGAATCCTTTGATTTATGCTGTATTTTACCCATGGTTTAGGAAAGCCATAAAAGTTATTGCGAGTGGTCAGGTTTTAAAGAACAGTTCAGTAACCATGAATTTATTCTCTGAACAAATGTAAGCAATTGGATTGAGGAAGTTGAATATATCTTTAAGATTATCAAGTGAAATAAATCTTTAAAAATCAAGTGAAACTATTAATGAACGGCAAATCAATTACTTTTCAAATTAAGTAAGATAAATCGATGTTTTTCAGCCTTAAGATGTGCACTTCCCTGTCACTTCTCCAAAAATATTTACTTGACCAATAAATATTAACTCCTAATTTGTTAACGGCTTCAGATCTCAGCATACGCCTCTCCTTGCAAATAAGTCCCTCCTTCCGTTTCCTCTTTTAACCCACTGACTTTTCCCTGTGTTCTGGTATGTCACTTGAAAATATCTTTGTTCTTTGATTCCCTTTCCTCTTTTCCTTACAAAACTTTCTACTCTTTCCCAGTCTGCTGAAAATTGCATCTGTGAATAGCCTTCACCAGATTCTTGCTTTCTTTTGCTTTGCTTATTTTACCAAGGGAGCCTCGTTGGTAGCTGTTTCATCTATTCAGTGTTGGGAGAGATCTCATAGTGGGGTGGGGGTGAAGGGCAATTTACAAATGTAGACATCATCTTGACCAGGCTGTTGTGATTGTAAAACAAATTACTGCCATCCTATATTATTATTTCCTCCCCCAGAGTAGGAATCAGAAACCACTCTACTTCCCAGTGTGATGTTGGAGCAATTATTGGCTGTTCTTTTTGCTACTGCTCAAACCTCTTGGAAATAGTTGATATAGATAGCACCCTGGGTTACATTATTCTCCTTATACACATTGACTAGTGTTCATCTAAGGAAAATCTCCTTCAAGTGCTATCTCTAGTTTTCTATGTTTTTCTATAATAAAGCTTAATGACAAGAGAGCATTTGCAAGGAGGGGATAGGGAGAAATTGGTGAAGAGCCACAAAAACTGTTTACATTGTGTAATGATAAAATAAAAAATAAATAAATAAAAGGAGGATTTTTGCAGGGAAAGGATGGAAAGGGATTTTCAGGGCAAGTGAATAGCATGAGCAAAGAAACTGAGAAAGTGCATGGAGTGTTCAGGGAATATAGAGATAAAACAACTAAACAACCACCAAAGGAGTGGTCGCCCTTTAAACCTTCCCGATGTTGGTATCTAAACCCCTCCACTTCTGTGTCTCCCTGCCTCTCCTGGGCATCCTCCACTGGGATTTGGAGGCATTCTTACCTCCAGCCCTCTGCTCAGGTTTTGACTCTTATAATTGGCATTGTCTTCTAGGCCAACATTTCCTAAATAAGGTTTTACAAAACAGTCATCACATAAAGTGCTCCAAGGAAAAAGTTTCTGCATCACCAGTGTTTTGGAACTGCTGCATACTGTATACTGCTCTTGAATAATACTATACATTGGCATATTAAAGACTCTGAGGAGCCCTGTTAAAACAAAATCCTGTCTAACTTTGTTTAGATATGCATCCAAAAGTTCATTTAACCATGGAAATCTCTTCGGGGGTAAGGGGGTTGAATAACAGGACTATTGTCCAAGGAAAACATTTAGGGAACACTGGTCTATATCATTGATTTGGTATTTATCAAATGTATTCTTTATTTTGTATTGGTCTTTTGACCTCTTTACATACAATCCACTAAGTTCAATTTATATTTCTAAAGGGTAGAGATGGTTTTCCAACCCATCATATAATAATAAGTAGGCACTCATGACACTTGTTGTCAATTATGATATATAAGATAAATTATATGACATATAAAACATGATAAATTATCTTACTTTGAAGGAGGGAGAGGATGCTAAAGGCTGAAGAATCTGAGAAGGTTCCATGAAGAATATAAGCTGAGCAGTGGAGCATTAGTTTAAATAGAAAAAAAAATAGAAAGGGAATTTCTAGGCAGAATAAATATTTTATGAAATGTATAAAGTTAGTGGCACATCAAACACAACTGAGCACAAAAAAAGGAAAGTCAGATAGACTAGACTAGTCTGCCTAAAGCAGAGCATTTGGGTAGAGTCACAATCAATCAATCTGTCAATCAAGATATTGTTTAGGCCCTATATCTGAACTATCCAATATGATAGGCATTAGCAACATGTGGTTGTTGAGGACTTGAAATGTAGCTAGACTGAATTGAGATATTCTGTATGTAGACGATATATATCATATTTCAAAGACTTAATACAAATAAAAGAATGTAAGTTGTCTCCTTTTTTATATTGATTGCATGTTGAAATTATCAATTTTGGATATATTGGATTAAATACACATATTATGTAAGTAATTTATCTTTTCTCTTTTTACTTTTTTAAATGTGGCTATAAGAAAAAATTAAAATTACATATGTGGTTCACATTACATTTCTATTGAACAGCATTGCTCTATAGAAAATAAAAACGAATCATTAGTTTTGATTCTAGCCCTCCAGGGCTTAAAAATCAGGATAGGGAGACAACATGTAACATAAAAAATTAAGTAAAAATTATGTGAGCTATGGCAAAAGTTAAATAATATTTATTTAGTAACTGATTTGTAATAACATACACTGTTAATCATATATTCTGCCCATTTTACAGATGAGGAAGCTAGGTCTCAGAGAGTAAATTGCATGAGATTTTATAGCTAGTAAAAAACACTTTGCCGGGCTGGCCCGGTGGCGCACTGGATAGTGCGCCGCTTGGGAAGCGTGGCGGCGCTCCCGCCCGAGGGTTCGGATCCCACATGCGGACCGGTTCCCGCTCACTGGCTGAGCGAGGTGCGGGAGCAACGCCGAGGGTTGTGATCCCGTTGCCGGTCCCCGGTCCATTACGGGGGCAATACTGAGGGTTGCGATCCGTTGCCGGACACGGAAAAAGACAAAAGCCAAAAAAAAAAAAAAAAAAAAAAAAAACACTTTGCCTTACTTTGAACCCAGATCATCTGAATTCTAAGCCCAAATTCATTCTTCTACATGGAAATGAGAGTTTAGGACAAAGAAGAAAGGATATTACAAAGGAGAAAAATTAAATAAATGTTACAAATAAGAAGACATTTAGCATTTAGGGTTTACCCTGTAAGTCAGTGGTTCTTGATAATTTTTAGATCATAGTCACATTGAAATATGCTGAAATGTATGTGTCTTCTCTCCCCCAAAATGCACATCATCACATATACATGATATTTAGAGTACTGTTCTAGGGGTTCCCAAACCCTTGAGGTCAATTATAGATCACAGATACACTGCTCCCAACTCAGACATTGGCTAGACTTGGCTGAAGTAAAAGCAACCTCAACAACCTCTGTGGCTTAGCACAGCAAACGTTTATTTCTTGCTCTTTTGAAGTCCACTATGGATTTGGGGCACTATCCAGGGCTTCAAGAAGGCAAGAAATTCACTTGCAAGCATGGATGAGTGGCAGGTCCCATACACCACTGAAGGATTAGGCTAAGGAGTATTTAAAAGTGACAGAATGTAATAGGTAGTGGAGTTGTACAGAGTTCTTTTCTCTCCTGAGACTTTAATATATAAATTTGTCAATGCCATGCTACATTTACTATCAAGCTAGGAAGCAGAAGATCTAAATTTGGATGAGTGAGCTGTCACACTTTGCGGAAGAGTCTCCCTCAGGATGAGGTAGAGCAGTTTGAAAACTGGGGGAGAGACGAAGAGGTGTGAGGGCTGTCATAGAAATCGGTGTCAGGCCAGGGTGGCCAGTGCCACAGCAGCAGCAGAACATGGACTATCTGGGATCCATGGAAAAGAGTAGAGGGAAGATCTGGGGAGTTTTTACCTCCTAACGCCTATTCCTAAAAAATCTCATAAAGGAGCATGGAGAAATTTTTCCTGGGTTGAGTTGGGGCAGCGACAGGCCTGTGAAATGGATTCCCATTACTTACCTGTATGGTGACTGGAGTCAAGCCCCTCTACAATTGTTACCTGTGCTACTCGTGGTTTCTCAAGCTGGTGTTATCCAGGAAACTGGTCTTACGTACCCAACCATTGAAATGACTCCCTCCTCGAAATTCTGCTTTCTTTAGTGTTGATTAGTAGGTGTGCTGTGCTTTCAGGCTAAACTCAGATCTTTTTCAAGCTATAATTGCAGATGTGTAATGGTAAGTGAAGAGAATTCAGTCATTATTTAGTCAGGAGCATATGGGAATGGATGGTCTCAACAGTACTGCTTTCAATGTTATTGATAGTGAAACCATAAGATCTTGGATTTAATACAAGAGAAGGAAATTCTAGATGCTTGTAGTAGGCAGATCAATGGCTCTGCCAAAGATATTCTTGTCCTAATCCCCAGAACCTGTTCATATGTTATCTTACATAGCCTAAGGGACTTTGCTGGTGTGATTCAATTAAGGATCTTAAGATGTGAAGATTACCCTGGATTATCAATGTGGGCTCAATGTAATCACAGGTTCCTGTGAGGGAATGAGGGAGACAGGAGAGACAGAGTCAGAGGCGATGAGATGATGGAAGCAGAGGTCAGAGTGATACGGCCACAAGCCAAGGAATGCAGAAGCTGGAAAAGGCAACGAGCAGGTTCTCCCCGAGAGCCTCCAGAAGGAACACAGCCTATCCGACACCTTGATTTTAACACTGTAAAACCCATTTCAGACTTCTGACATCAAGAATTGCATAATAATAAATTTGTTTCACTTTTTTTTTTTCCTTTTTGTCTTTTTTCGTGACCGGCAACGGATCGCAACCCTCAGTGTCGCGCCCATACCGGACCAGGACCAGCCACGGGATCGCAACCCTCGGTGTTGCTCCCACCCCTCGCTCAGCCAGTGAGCGGCCAGTCTGTATGTGGGATCCGAACCCTCGGTGGGAGCGCCACCGCGCTTCCCAATCGGCGCACTATAGTAGTGCGCCACTGGGCTGGCCCAAAATTTGTTTCACTTTAAACCACTAACTTTGCAGTAATGTGTTGCTTTATCAACAGGAAACTAAGCACCGTGCCTTTGCTACTCTCCATCTTTTAGCTGGAATGGTATTAATGTCTGTCCCATTTCCATCCTTGATATGCTGACATATCTGGGATCCTTAATAGGGTCTGTTGCTATAA